AAAATCAATGTTTTTCCACGGTAGGAGAAGAGTTTCCTGATCTACGTCTGCCTCCGTCACCAGGTTTAAATCTCCTACTCTGTAACTTTGGAGTTTCGCTCTCTGGTTCCTGATTTACCCCAGTGACACAAACTGTCTTCGGGGGGCAGCGGTGAGCCACCGACTCCTGCGTCTCCCTGAGATAAAATCACTAATTGTCTCTATGGGCTTTGGTGTGGTTTCCAAACTAAAGTTTCCAATGTCAACAGTGAGATAAAACACAACAGAGTCTGAAGAGTCCACGTATTATTGAAGACAAAGTCACATTTTAGCCTCTGTGTCTCCACCCTCACAGCAGGGGGCACTCAAAGCAGGGTCAGTGATTATCTGTCAGTACTTCAAACAAATACCTCGACCATTACTCCTAAAAGCCGTGTACTCTGACACATGTGCCTGTCTTCAGCTGTGGACAACTGTCCATCACGGGTTTGAAGTTCAGTGTCCTCACAGAGACAGAAGTACAAATGCTGTGTGTGTCTGTGTGTGTGTGTAAACTGTGATCTCCAGCAGGAGCACTAAATTGGTGCTAACAGCGTTAGCTTTAGCGCAGCGAGCTAACCAGCCTCAGGCCAAGCATGAATAATGCAGCAGTCAGCCCAGTGCCTCTGGGTGTGTGTGTGTGTGTGTGTGTGTGTGCGCGCACGCATCACTGTCTGTATATGATGGTATTTGAATAATATGCTAATTACTAATAATTACCCTGTAACATACACTCCCAGATTATCTGCCCCGCTCCCCCTTCTCCTCCTCCGTCTATTTCCTTCCTTCCTCCTCCTCATCCTCTGCCTTTTCCTCCTCTGGAATGTAACTCCTTTTGTCAAGGACGAGGACGAGGAGGAGGAGGAGGAGAAGGAGGAGGAGCGGGGTGAAGACCAGGCAGGGTCACGGCAGAACCTCCTGGAGCATCACAAACAAGCAGAACCTCAGGAGGACGGTGGATGTGGCATCAGCCGGAGCCGGAATGAAAAACCAAAAAAAAAAAAAAAAGTTCTAAATTGGAAAAAAAAGTGCAGATACTGATCATAACCCAGCTCCATTCAGAGCCTCGTGGCTTCCAGGAACCCTGACCGTGTTAGCAGCAGTGACGTGCTCCTAAAATTCCATCGTTCCGACATCATCGACAGGGAGTTTCACTCATTTATTTACCACTTCAACTTAAAGCAACACTGCCCGTCCGTTCTTAGACAACACTCCATACTGATGGGAGTGTAGTTCCTCCCTCGAACCGTCACACCCCGTGAGGACATCACGGTGGGAAGAATCGAGGAAAAAAACCCACATTCGTGGTTTCGTCTGGGAACCAGATTTTCAGGATACAAACTGATGTGGTTTCGTCTGGGAACCAGATTTTCAGACTGATATTCTGGTGGTGAAGGTGACGGCAGGATTTAAAAGAACAGAACAATGAAGGCCAAGTTCTGAGGCTTTTTTTCTTTTCTTGATTTTTCTTCATGATTCAAATGTGACGGGGAATTCAACCTGCAAACACTTGTTTTCAGTCTGACCGAAATTATCATTCCTGGATTTTTTTTCACAGTTGAATAAGTTTTGTTTTTCAGATGTACTGAGTACAACCTTGTAGCAATTACTGTGACTAAGTGAGGTGGTGGTACTGGAAGTACTTTGAAATATTTACACAACAGGTGACTGCGTGTCTGGACTTGTCTTTAAAGAGTCCTCGACAAAAAGTCTGCCTGGAGAGAACCTCCATCCAACCAAACAAACTACATTTGTGAGGTCAAAAGTACAGACACATTAAAAAAAAAACTAAAAACTAAAAAGAACTTTTTATTTATCCCTCACAGACTTTCATTTATGAAACACAGATGTTGACCAAAACTACTGCAACTCAAGTCAGATTGTGGAGCATTTAGGGTCAAAACAACAACGTGTTTTTAATGGAACCTAGATCTGAAAATTTTAGGTTGATTTTTTGTAGAAGATAAAATCTATTTTTTCCAGTTTTTCAAATCTAGTTTTCCCCTCTTAAAAAAAAAACAACGCAAAAACATTTCTTTTGTTCTAGACGATCACGACCGGTTTCACTTTCACATCATCGTTGAGCAGACGGAGATTTTAATTAAAAATGTGAATAATCCAGAGGAAACAGAGAAGATTAGAGGAGATCATAAAAAAAAATACAGGTCAGGTCATAGACGAGGTCGTCTCACACACACACACACACACACACAGACTTCTGGATGACAGGAGGATTGTGGGATTGAAGAAAATGTCACTTGCCCTGATAAGATTCTGTCAAAGACTTCTTATGTGTTGAAGACTCTTAGAATGAGGTCAAACTCCGTCTGAACGGAGGTCAGTTTGTCATTAATACAGACCCATAATGCACTGCAATAAAACGTCACAACATAAGACACCAAAGTTTTAACTCACTTATAAATGTATCTAATTTTGCCATTTATTTCCACTGATGGTTTTGCGTCCGTCAGTTTGCAGCAACATCCAGTTCTTATTCACGCTCTACGACAGTGACTGAGAGGAAGGTACCAGCGGGCGAGTGAGCACCGAGACAATAAGGAGTGAAAGAGAGAGAGCGAGACTTTTGTGCTCTACTGACTCATCATAAATCTGTGTGTGTGTGTGTGTGTGTGTGTGTGTGAAAAAGATCAATACAGCAGCAGATTGTCGCTGAATTCATCTTCGGACATTTCATTCAAACAGCTTCAGGACACAGATCATGTTCCTGAACGCAGCAGACAGTGAACACACCTCTCACACCCTGACAGGAAACACACAAATCACTGCAACTGTCGATGGTGGGCGTGGCCTGACCCCCTTTTTTTTAAGACCTCATTTTTTAAGCAGCGTATTATCTGTCCTGGCCGACTTTGTCGAATCCCGACGATGGAAGGCCAACTTTATCTGCTGGATTCTATGTTTAGAAATATGAACGTCCAAGAACGGCAGCTGAGAGGAGATCTGCCAAGTTCACTGGTCAGACGGTGGCATTTACTTTAGTTGGACGTTTGAAATGTTTACAGAAGAAAGAAGTGTGTTTATACCAAACATGACTAAAACAAAATGTCCAAAAAATACAAATTAATCTGCTGATATCCATTAATTATGAATTTTATTTATTAAACATTATATTTATGACTCTACACTAAAGAAGAATATCGTTCAGATAGAAGGAGAATTTTGGAAGAAACTCACTTTAAAGTCTTGCTGGGCTCTTCTTAACGAACCCATACTGTGGTACAAAATGTAAACACTATATTTTGTAAAAATCGTAAATATAATTAAATCGACTACGTCGGTCAAATGACGCCAACAGAATCTCTCTGACAAAATGTTTACTGTTTTTCTATGTGAGAAGTTGTTAATTTCTGCCAGCCAAGCTCAAGGAGGCCTGTGTTTTTCAGAACAACCCCTGCTGGCCAGCAGTGGCACTGCACCCTGAAGAGCATTTTACAATGCTTGACAAAAAAAATGTTTTACTCAGGAAGCGTGTAATTTTTCTGGGTGCAGGTCAGTGAACCAGGGACCGCTGTAATCCCGACAAAATTGATGAGGTAAAATACACACCAACACAAGACGTGTAAATGTCAGAGATGAAGAGCAGACCACAGTCTACCTCTCACCCTCTGACTCCTCCCACCTCACCCCCTCGCCCCCCGACCGCAGAGCGGTGAAGGTCATGTGTGACCTCCAGCTGAGACGGAGGAGCAGATCATTGACTCTGGCAGAGGCTGAAAAGGTCGACTCCCCGAGGAGGCAACACACAACCGACAAAACACACCAGTGCACCGCACACACGCGTACGCCGGCACATGGCGCCTTGAACGCTAACAGCAGGTGTGTCACATTATCATCAACAAAGACAATAACAGGGAATCAACAGACAAGTCACAACGAGACCAGAGAAGATGAGTGTGAGACGACGAGAGCAAAGCTTAAATCAAATTAATCACCTCGGCTCCGACTCTGAGATCTGTGAAAACCCAACCGCTCATTCTGCTCTACCAAAAATCAAATTAATCACCTCGGCTCCGACTTTGAGATCTGTGAAAACGTCCACAGAGAAAACTGGTGATTTGAGCTCAAAGTGACAAAAGAACCGCTGCCTCGTGTGGTCAGTTTGATGGAACGGCGTGACGTGTGAGATCAGTGATTTTCCCCGTGGACTTTGGTTTTACAAGTGATTTACAAACTTTGACTTTCTGTAAAAAAAAAGAGCAATTTTCACGTCACAAAGACACGATGTTGTGCGTGTGTGTTTGGTCAGTCAGTTTAACAAAAGTTCGAAAGAACGCGATGATTTCTACCCAAATTTCCTGATAGAGACTTGGGCCTGTGTGTCCCCTGAGCCAAAATCAGTGATTTTCTCCAAGGACTGTGGTGTGGAAGGCTGTGCCACAGTAAGATAAAGCTGTGAACAGCGTCTAAAGATACGGCAGATTTAAGGTGAAGTACGTTTTATGAGCCCAGCCTTTTGTAGAGTGGCTAAAAAAAATACAATGGAACGGGCAGAAAAACAACCATCAGCTGTGTGTGTGTGTGTGTGTTATCAGCTCTCTCTCTCTCTCTCTCTCTCACACACACTCTCTCTTATCAGTTCCCTCTCACTCACCTTTTTCCTTTTTTTCCCCCCATCTTTTTTACCTCTCTCTCTCTCTCTCACTCTTTGCCTGCAGCTTCCTTATGGCACTCGACCACTAATGCAGCTGTGCTGGGAGGAAGGCCTGGGGTGGGCACTTACATCAGCCACCCTCACCCACCCGTGTGCACTCCCTCACCCTCAGCCTTTGCATCAGCCCACGTCTACCTCTGTGTTTCACTGTTTACTGTGTCTTTAATGTCACACTTTCACACTGGGCTCAGTGACGACGACGACAACGACGACAACAACGACGACGACGACGAAGACGATGATGATGATTAAGATGAAGAAGAAGAATCTTGTTTTTCTGTCTACAAAGTTCTGAATGAACCGATGTTGGTTTCGTTTTTGTCTTGGACGTAGAAGTTAAAAATCCCCATCAAGGTCAAGGGAACGACCGAGGGAAACAAAAACAACGAAGACTGTATGGTGGCAGACCAACACGTATCAGTTAACGACCAGGTGCTGCTAATGTTCGAACTGAAATGAAAGCACGATTTTTCCAAAGTTATCGTAGTCTTAATGTGGAGTCTCACTAACGCCTGTAGGTCGGCTACGTCCTGTTTTTATATACAGTCTACGGTGCTGCCACACGATACACACCACACACTAATGTTATTGTTTTCACCCAATGACTAGTGCAGTTTAAGGAAAGCGGTTACTTACAACCCCCTCTCTCTCTCCCTTCCTCCTCCCTCCCTCCCTCCCCTCTCTCTCTCTCTGTACATCTTTAACCTCTCTTAACCTCAACAGTCCCACAGGTGATTCTTGGTGTCCTGCGGTTACACTCTGACACACATACAGCCAATCATTAATCAGCCCCAGGAAACACACACACTCACACACTCACACGCACCAACGGACACACAGACACACGTGCGCTGACCCAGAAACTTGTCCTCGGCTCAAAGACGTTCCCCTAACAGGAGGTCGTCGCTGAGCGTCGCTGAGCAGAGCTCCTGTTTACAGAGGTCAGTGAAAGCAGCGCCGGAGGAACATGGATGTGTCAGTGACGCCCGCGCTGACCCTCACAGGAGAGGTTCTCTCTCTCTCTTTCTCTATGTCTCTCTCTCTGTCTGTCTTACACACACACACACAGTAGGACAGACCAACACAAAGGTCAGAGGTCATGATGTTTTGGTCTGTTTCCATGGTTTCACTGGTTGCTTTCTCAGAACAGAGGCTGACAGGTGCCTACAGATTGATAATGTTAGTAGGAAGTGGGCGGGGCTAGACCACACCCAGAAAAAAGAGACCGTGAACGGACGCCATTAACGAACCCGATAAGTGAGAAATCTGTGGCGTCATTCAGTACTACACATACTGTAGTACACCAGGACAAATACTGTGTAGTACTGTGTCCTGAGTTACTACGGTGAACTGGAATGGAACCAAACATCCTCAACTCTTCTGAGTCCTGCCACCAGGGGGCTTTAAAATCAGTTTTTGCTCATTAACATGGCACATGCAGAGCACGCTGCGCTCGGACTGGTTGACATCATCACCATTAGAGACACGCTGCAGATAGATAAATAGCATTATTGATCCCAACAAGGAGCAATTTATTTACAGCTTTAACCAGCCTTCAGGAGGCCGGGGGAATCAGGCACTCAGAGGCAGCTACATGACGGCACCGGGTAAAAACCTGGACTTTCAGGACCCCCTGGTTACAGAACTTCAAAGTCTCTTAAGTTGGTCTTATAAATTACAACAACTGAGACTGATCTCTGATTGGTCGCTGAGAAAAAAAAAAAAAAGCACCTTAAAACTGAGGGGAGCTGAAAACAGCTGAACAGCAGGAAACTGCATGAATATTTAATCACACACACACACACACACACACACACACACACACGCACGCACACACAAACTGAGTGTGAATATTTACTGTAGTAATTTAGGTTAAACTGCAGCCTCTGGGCCTAAACTCCCAGAAGGCTTTAATGCATGTGTGCGTACGCGTGTGTGTGTGTGTGTGTGGAGCTGGCATCACTTTCAGATCATTATTATAATTACTATGATAAAAGAAGAGAAAATATCAGAAAAGGAGCAGTTTTGCCCGTTCCCCATCTGCAGACATCAAGTCGGTTCAACTGAGAAGAATTCAAAGAAAATGTTCATCAAAACACAGAGCACGCCAACAGTTAGCCTTCAGACAACGACGACCAAAGTGGACGCTCAGCCATAGGACGGTGGATTTTACAGTCGAGGTGACCGTCAGACCTTTTGAGGTAGTTTAAACTTTATCCAGGAGAGGGCGCTAAGAGCTTTCTCACTGATGTCATTTTTTCTGTTAGCAAGCAAGACGATTCTGTAAGTCCACTGGGATCTTTAGTGGCCAACAGATTGGACACCGAGCTTTCTCACTGATGTCATCATCCATCCATCCATTTTCATTTGTTACCGGGTCGTGGGGGCAGCAGCCGTCACCCAAATCACATTGCACCGTACCAACCCCCCTGAACCTTACTGTGGGTGCTGAGTCCACTGGAGTCCAACCGCCCTAACTGGGATTCGATCCTGCTCAGGAGGTGAACCCTGGGGTTCCACACCAATGACAGAGACATGGCCTCTGGGTCAAAGCTCCACTTGTCAAAAACAGACTGAATCTAAAGTTAGTTGGACAGAACCTTAAATCCTGGATGTGGAGTTCAGTCACGTCGGTTCTTAACTGTTACTGTCCAACCTTTAACTGACCAGAGCCTTATATCTGTCAAGTTCAACACCTGTTCTGATCACACAGAGACGACAACCAACTGTTACTGCTGTGGAAACTGACGAAGGCACCACCGAAGAAGACCATGACCCACAAAATAACATTATTCAACTGCCAGCAGGGCTTTGTGTGGGTTTTGAGGGGGAGGGCGGGGGGACCGGGGGGGGGGCTCCACACCACATGTACGGTCTCTGAAGATCTTCAGAGGTGAAGAACATCATGTAAAACATTTCCATCTTGATCCTAAGACAGAGTGACAGCCTAATCTGACGTGTGTGTGATGGGGTTTTTAAAAAAGGTTTTAGGTTGAATTCCTTTGCTTTGTAAATGTAATGACACAATAAACTGACCTGTCAAAGCAGAGTGTGTGTGTGTGTGTGTGTGTGTGTTAGATTAGGATCCTCAGCTTCATGTCTCATGTTAAACAAAGCATCTTAATCCAGCCTCTCTGATCTAATCTGATCCAATCCCTGCTGCCTGTGCAGACGCTGCTTCTGAAAAGCAGAGGCCGCCTTAATCCCAGAGGCCGCCGGGCCCCGGCGCTGCTTCTCCTTTTTTCTCCCGCGACTCTAATCCGACACACAACGGCCGTGGACACGGAAGTGCCACAGGAAGGTTCTCTGATGTTGGTGGATTAAAGATTAGAGGAAGAAAAGGATTGTATGTTTAAAAAATGATTGCCACCAAAACTATAGAAGGAGATGAAGAAGAGGAGGAGGAGGATGAAGAGGAAGAGCTGGAGGAGTGGAAGAAGGGAGGGTGGGTGAAGGAGGGAAAAAGGGAGGAGGGAGGCAGGGGGGAGAGAGGAGAAGGCTCTTCATCATTTCACACTCACAGGGAAAACTGGGCAAGTAAATAGAGGAAGGAAGGAAAGAGGGAAGAGTTTGAAGAGGGAGAATTAACTCACACACACACACACACACACAGTGTTACAGTCTTTGTGTGAGTGTGTGTGTGTGTGTGTGTGTTAAATCTGTGGGCATCATTAAAACCCTGACGAGACAGAACAAAGAGCTGACTGCACCTGAACACACACACAATGAAAAACCTAAAGTCCTGAATCAGCGACCGTCCTGAACTTGGACACTCCAGGTCACCAGAGAGTTTCAACATATGTGTGTGTGTGTAAACAACTATACATTCACCCTCACATTCACACCTGCACTCAATTTAGAGTCTGGAACCCTAATCTGGAAGTTTCTAGTCTGTAAGAGGAATGTGACGCACACACACACACGCACGCACGCGCGTTCACACATGCACACACACGCTCTGGGACACCAGTGTAACGTTCCTGCTGAAAGGCAACAATAAAAGATAACCACTATGCCGCTCACATTCCCACACCAAAGTCCCTGCAGAAAAGCAGTGTTTTTAGCTCCCAGGACAGTGGAGCCGCTGCACCGCTGCTGCACCGCTGCTGCACCGCTGCTGCCTCCTGTTGTCACCCACTGACTCTGGGGTGAACCTGGGTGAGCGGGTCCAAACACCCCAGTTACAATGTGACACATCAAAACTCAGATCCAGAGACATCAGTGGACGAACAAACCCCGTGAAGCGTGAGGTAAAATCAATGATTTTCTCTATGGACTTTGGTGAGGGGAGGAAATGATTCATTTTTTTTAAATAAAAAAAATGGCGGTGAGGGGAGGAAATGATTCATTTTTTAAATTAAAAAAAAAAAAAAAAAAAAAGGGGTCAGGCTTACAGTGACACAGACGTAAAAAAAAAAGGCAAAACATTTTTTTTTAAAGAGGTCAGCCTTGCAGAGACACAGACAAGTGACCATAGTCTTGATGATGCACAAACACACACACACAGGGCCAGACACATCATCGATAAGGCCGATCAATCTGACGTCAATAGAAGAATCAGTCAGAGTTCTGTCCTGACCCACCGTCTGTCTCTGCTGGACTCTACTGTTTCTACTCTGCAGCAAACGCACCATCGGTGCAACTACAAATGCTCTGTCAATACATCAATCATCCCACGGACGAATAAATCATTCATGTCATCATCCGTCGGTTCGATCGCTCCACCGATCAATCACTGCTGCAGCAGTCGGATAAAATCAGTGGAAGGACCTTAGTGTGTCTTTAATTGTCTCCACTCTGGACTTTTCCTGCTGTAATCAATCAAATCAAACTAGGCAATAATTAAAGTTATCGATAATGTAACTAGTTGTTATGGGCAAAAAAAAAAAATACTACAATGATGGAGGAGGAAAACGTTAAACAAGGGTTTAGTTCGATCAAACGTGACGTATTTGATCAGCTCAGGTACAGGACGATCAATCAATGCTCAAACTTTTGTAGCTCAGGTACAGGACGATCAATCAATGGTCAAACTTTTATAAAAATTCCAGTTTCTGGACTTGTTATGGGCAAGTCTGGGAGTCTGAACTGAACCTGAACGGATCTGGTCCTCATGTGGACCTGACTGGACCCTGTCCCAGACCCTGTCCCAGACTCTGTACCAGACTCTGTATCAGTCTTCACTGGACTATGTGGCTATTTTCCTCTCGACCGTTTTTTATTTTTCAGTCTGAAACAAACAGCCCTAAATCTGGTCTCTGGTCTGTGTTGGTTTTCTGCTGCTTGTATCTGGCCGTGTTTTTTTTTTGTTTTTGCAGTGGTCGTCAGGACTGGACTCTGTCCATGGTCTCAGACTCTGGAGTCGTTACAAGCGACTCACAATTAAACGCGATCACATCTGGTCTCCGATGATTTTCTTTTTTCTCTCTTTTTTTCTGAGCTGCTCTCCACCAGACCAGCCTTCATCTCCACCCAGTTTCTACAGAACTCCACCAGACCTCACTGGTCTGAACTAGATTCTCAAACAAAATAAGACTGGTCTAAAACACCAGTGTTTCTGTTCAGAGCTCTTCACCAGACTCTGTGTCTGCTGGTTGACTCTGCATGATTCCACTGGACCCCAGCGTCGCTGTGACATCAAATCATTATTACTTTTATTAGTATTATTATTCATTAACTAACTGAGGATCGTTACTTCAATTAAATAATTAATCATCTGGTTAATTACATGCGGGAAACTGTGAATAATCGTCAAGTAGCTGTGTGGCAGAATTCAACCACAAATATTAGATTTACTTTCAATAAAAAGAAAATATAAATTTGATAAAGTAAATCATTGAACTTGTTCTAATTCAAAAACGTGTAAGAAAATAATAGTTAATTATTTAAAAAATAGTTAATATTTATAATGACAGTCCATTTGTGGACCTACTGAGGTTTTAATACGTGGTTCTGAACCTGGAACTGATCCGGGTCCATGGTCTCTACGTCGTTTCTGGACTCTTTCTGCCAGACTGTATCTGCATGTTGTCTCTGTGGGACCGAACTGGACTGGATTTACACGAGTCTGGTTCGAACCTGACCACATCGGGTCTCTACAGGGTTCGGTCCGGACTTCACGCCCCCCCCCCACCCCCACCCCCCCATTTCCTGCTGGACCGAACTGTTCACTTTAGTCTCCGCAGTTTTCTCATTTGAGTCCGACTCTGACATCGTTAAACCGGGACTGCTGTCCCCCCCAGACCCTGAGTCTAACCGGACTCCGCTGGTCTCTGCCGGACCCAGTTTCCCAGTTTCTCTACTCTACTGGACTCCCTCTGGTGTCTCCAGTCCTGTCGAGGACTCCTCCTCTGGTCCGAGGTTCTGGTTCTGACTCAAAGTTTTTGGGAGCTGAGATCAGCTGAAGAGGGGAGGGAGGGGGGGCAGAAGGGAGAATTTTCCAACTGGGAACACCGAGGAAGTCCAGAGCGCGCATAACACGAAAACCAGCACAGACCAGGACCAGAACTAAGAGCCGGACCAGAACCGGGTCGCCGTGTGTCTTCTTACCTTTAAAGGTGTCCGCGCGCGCGCCACTTAGTCCCAGTGAGAGCAGAAAAAGGCAGTAGGACAGGAGGAAAGTTCCGGTCCGCTCCATGTTCACAGACAGAGACGGGGAGAGGGGGGAGGGAGGGGGTCAACTCTTCACCTTCTTCTTCTTCTTCGTTCTCTTCTTCTCCTCTTCTTCACGCACTGTCACATTCTGTCACACACACCCAGAGAATGAGACAGAGAGGAGTAAGTGTGTGTGTATGTGTATGTGTGTGTGTTTGAGCCGCTACTGCTTCTTTTACCAGAGAGGCAGTGACGTCACAGGGGCGAGAGACTTTAGGGGAGAGGGAGAGAGAGAGAGAGGCAGGGGCAGCGAAGAGAGAGAGAGACAGAGACAGAGAGAGAGAGGACTTCTGGTGTAGAAAGAGGAAAAAGACAGAACTTTAAAAAATTATTATTATTACTTGAAGTAAATCTTTATTCAGAAAGAAAAAGAAAAAAACGTAAAGCGTACGAAACACGCAGAGCATCGTTCGGAAATATAATTAAAATGAAAAAATCAAATATATATTGAAAAAGTGTACCAGAGGTGATAAAGTATTTTAAAAAATAAAAATATGTTTCTGTTGTTGTGTCCTATATATAAAAAATAATTGTAAATGAATAACGAAACATGACAAAAAACTCTGTTCGGAGATTTAAAAACACGTCATTGTCTTAGTCTTTCATTAAAAAACATATAATGTTTCCTACGTCCGTATGTTTTATGCTTATTTTCACCTAAAGTCAGAAAATACTAGGTATCTTCTCACAATTTTCTTCCGTTCTATGCAGTTGTTACATCGTAGCCTTATTTAACAATTTCTAAGTAATTTTAATATAAAATATGTATTTATTATTTTTAATTAATTATGTCTCTATTCGAACTTTTTATTTCTCTCTGTAACGTGTTTTGCAGACGTCCGCCTCCTTCACAAAAGTTTTATTTATAATCCTTCTAATTGAGAGCCACATGTGTCGGAGTTTCAGATTTCAGGACAAAGTTTTTTTCCCTTTCTCTTGCTGCCCCCTATAGGCGAAGCACGCATATGCGCACACACGCAAATATGCTCAAAAGAAGGAGTGTCCTGCCCTCTGCTGGCCACATTGAGGTACAACAGTCAGTCAAAAAATAGGGTAACGATACGAAAAAATAAACAGAAAAAAGGAGGAAAATGGAG